AAAATTTGATCCGGACAAACAAACGGACAAGAAAGCAAGTTAATAAAAACGTGTTAAAATGGAATGTGATTCAGGTGACACCCACCCAAGAGTACCAAAGCAGAATGAATTTAAAATTGAGGAATCACTGAACAAGTGCAGTGAATATATGTTTTGTCATGTGAAATTGCATCCTTTGAAAACTCACTGAATAGAAGAACTCCTGAAAGAGGGAGAAATTGACAGAGTAAAGTTACTCAATCACCTGCTTTTTTCCCTTCTCTTGAAGAATTTACTTGACAATCTGCTGTAACCTGTTTTAATCTTTGACTGACTAAAACAGTTGTATCTTCTCTACATGAAATTAAAAAAAAAAGAACTATACAATTGTTTTCTATTGTAGATGGAACAATACAATTTATGGATGAGGAGATCAATGGTTGTCCACATGTCATACTATGAAGTTATTTTGATATGTTTCAATATAAGCAGTTATTCCCTCCATTTTAGTGCATTAGGTTATTGTTCATGATGATTTTTGGGATTTTAAGAGTTTTCTGAGGCAAGGAATGTTTAATATAGTCATCCCTGCACAACAGACTTAATTTGTGCAACAGACCAGTCATCTGTTGTGGGAAAAGTCTGTGATGGCAAATTCCATTGTTAGATAAATAAAATTTATTCTTTTTACCATTCTTTTTACCATTAAACCAACAGTAGTCTGTTATGCAGATTTAGTCTCTTGTGCAAAAATCTGTTTTGCAGAAAGTCCATTGTGCAGGAGGAAACTGTACTTTGGTACTGATTCATTATGAAGGATCTGTATAATAAATGAAGTGTCAAGTTTAATTGACAGAGTGCATGAACCAAGAGATTAATGCATATAAATCTTTGGAACTCTCAAAAATTTTCACCATTCCTTATAGTGAATCTTAGTGAAGTCTATATATACTGTAATTACAACAGATTGGAATTCAAGTATTAGGAAACTAAATTTTTGAATGTTCTCAAGAAGCATTTCCTGGCATCAGGGTTGAATGGAAAGAGAGAGGAATTCTTTGTTTACCTCACTCATCTCTCTCTGTTTGCTTGTGAGTCAGGGTTTTCCTGGCCCATGCCCTGTAAATCTCTGTGTTCCTCTTTCCTGGGTTTAAATTTAGTTTCTTGGCAAGTGGAAGAAGCAGATTTCCTCTCTCTCCTTCTCACATCTCATACTTCCGGGACCTGCGCAGGAATTCCTTGTAAAAATACTTCCCTTTTTTCCTTGATAGATGTAGTGTTCAAGTCTTGATTGAGAAAACAAATATGGCTGATGATGATGATGATGATTATGATGAGTAAGATGGTTGATTGAATCTTCTTGCTTTTTTTTCATGCCATGGTTTTTTGAATTCAATTTTTGTTTATGGTTTTGAATAGGCTGAGGAAGAGGTCAGGGCTCTGCAGAAGAAGATGCAGCAGCTGGAAAATGACTTTGACACTGCCCAGGAGTCTCTGCTGACAGCCAACAACAAGCTGGAAGAGAAGGACAAGGCCCTGCAAAATGTGAGTCTTTTTTATGTTTTATGACACACAATATTTCACCTGTGCTCATTCCTCAATCCCCTTGGATTATTGGGTATGGAGAGGGTTTTTATGTGTATATTTTCTGTCTGAGGCACCATCTTCTGATTGCCTCACAATTTTTTGATTTCCTGATGACTATGAACTCATTTCTTCATGCTATTAAATCTTATTTGATAACAGAAAATACCTGATATACTTTGTGAATGTTGAACTATTCTGCTAATTTAAAATGAATAAGTTCTACCTTCATACTTTTGTGACTCAAGAATCCATTTTTTTATCCTAAGGATGAGGTGGTGTAAATTTTGATGGGTGATGTTTCAATAAATTCTGATTTTGTTGTTGTTGTTAGAAGTTTGCTTTTCAATAATGGTAAATTACTTCTACAAACTTCAAAAGTGAAAATATTTTTGAGATCTCATCCTGAATGTTATTGTTATTATTCTTATTTTCTATTAAGTTTACAGAGCCTTGAATAGCTTGAAACTTCCTTCACTTGAACATTTCTTCATTCAGTATTGTTGGGCCACAATGTCAAATGTGGACCCTGTTGAAGGACAGAGGAGTTCCTACTTATTTGGATTGGAGAATATGCGGTAATGACTAATTGAACATGTATGTTGATGGAGTGCCATGATGAGACTGATTATGGATGGAATCACCAATTGATGAATCAAATTGACCATGATTTCCTTTTTGTTTGCTTGAATTGCTAGGTGCTGTGTTCTGATAAGCTTTCACATTTTAAAATATTGAGAATAGAGAAGGTTTCCATCTTTGAGAGGATATAACTTGAAGGAATTTTGTGACACATGTGTATAACAATTATATGAGCAGGACAGTCAATTTTCCTTGCTGGGCTGGTAAACACTAGAAAAAATCACAGTTTTCCAGGTACATTTGCTTTATGTGAAACTTCAGAATATATTTTACTTGCATTCAGTTGTTCCACTATTTTTTCTGTGCTTAACTTATCCATCATGTATGTAAAAGTTTATCCTAACCTCAGGAACATTTCCACCATGATGATATTCAAAAAGTTTCCTTTTGCATCAAGTGGTAAATGTTCTATAAGTTGAGAAGTCTGTGCATATCAAGTGTATTTTTTTTATATTCCATCTGGAGCATCTATGAAGATGTTTTGGTCCAATGCTTTGAAAATTTAAATACCATGCCTCTTCTGTGCTGGATTAATATTCAAAGTCTCTGTGATTTGAATTGGTCTCTGGATCATCACCATAAAGATGTTCTTGATTTTTCCTTGGAAGTCCACACCAAAGAAGTGTTATTCTCCTGACTCCCTCCCAAGAAGCAACCAGCAGTTCGTTCTTGCCTCAGGAGGTCCTCCCCCCCCCCCCCCCCCCCCCCCCCAACCCCAC